TGGGTAGCTGAGCAACCCACTTCCAAATTTGTTCCTGCCACAGGGTCATTTTCCCCAGTTTTGGGAGAAGGAGATAAAGTGGGCAGTGTGCAGAGTGGCCCCAGATGGGCTTGCGTCTTGAACACTGGCGTTCACTGAGAATACGTGTACAGGATCCAGAAATATCTCAGGATCAGGATGAAAGGTCTAAATTTAATACTAAAAACAGAAAATTGGCTCGGCTTCCTTGTGCTGTGCACAAGAAAGCTCTTGTTTGGAAGTTCTGAAATGAGAAGGAGCCGGAGACAGTATGTTCACAGCATCCTCAGATTTCCTGGGATCTGGAGGGTCAACTGTTATCCTAAGACCTCAAGACTTGCACATGCTTTTTCTTCACAATGGAAGCCTAGTATTGAAGAAAGATAAGCTGTTGGAGGCAAATCGGGAGGAGATTCTTACAGGTAAAGATACTCCCCTGTACAAGTCCAGGCTCATTTATTCATCTTCTGGGTTTTCTTACCCAGCTTTTGAGATTTCACTGCACACCCTTACCCAACCCTGGAACCTTTACTGGACAACAGCTGTTCTTGTTTGCATCCCATCTCTACCCTGGGTAACAGATCCCAGTCCTTCCTTTTGGGGAGCTACCCTCACTTGGATTGCTAGCCATCAGAGTCACAGAGTTGGTTTTAAAAAAAATGGGTTGATACAATTCAGAGCAATGAGATTTGGCCCTAAGAAGTTTGCTAGAACAATTGGAGAAGAGGTTTGTTTGGTCCTCTGGTGCCGCTTTAAGAGAAAATACCACAAAACAGTGGTCTTAACAAACACGGATTTATTCTCTTACAGTTTAGGAGGCTAGAAGTTCGAGTTCAAAGTGCCAGGCTCTAGGGACTGTGTGTCTATTAACAGTCCCAAGATCAGCACACAACATAGCAGGCTGCTGAACAACAACTCAGCTACATGCAGAGTCCTAGCATGCCAAAAGCTCAGAGACCTTTCCCAAAGCTCTCTTCTTTTATACTGGAAGCAGACCACATCCCTAACGCACCTACTCAGCTGTTCCAGTAGATTCCACCATGGAGTTGATAACCAGTCTCATCATGGGAAAACTGTTTCCAGCTAGCCAGCCACTCACAACCAGACCCAGCCAAACTAACATACAACTTGACTACCACAAGGTTCTTTTACTTTTAGCTGTTACTGAGGTTTCTGGGCTGGCAGAGTATAAACCCATTTGTACTAGAAGCCCACTCAGAGGAAAGTAGACATGAGGGACAGAGATGAAGGGAGAAAGAAAGATGACATCACTGAGCTTCTACAGCCACAGGTAACTGCCAGAAGTTCACGCCAGATTCAGAAGAGGATGTGGAATGAGGGATATCGTTGCTGATGTCAGATGGATCTTGTCTGAAAGCAAAGAATACCAGAAAGATGTTTACCTGTGTTTTATGGACTATCCAAAAGCATTTATCTCTGTGGATCATAACAGATTATGTATAACATTGCAAAGAATTGGAATTTTGTTAACATTTAATTGTGCTCTTGAAGAACTTGTACAAAGACTAAGAGGCAGCCATTCAAACAGAACAGGGAATACTGTGTAGTTCAAAATCAGGAAAGGTGTGCATCATGGTTGTATCCTTTCACCATACTTAATCTGTATGCTGAGCAAATAATCTGAGAAGCTGAACTATATGAAGGAGAACGTGGCATCAGGATTGGAGGAGGACTTGTTAACAACCTGAGATATGCAGATGACACAACCTTGCTTGCTGAAAGTGAAGAAGACTTGAAGCACTTACTGATGAAGATCAAAGACTACAGCCTTCCGTATAGATTACACCTCAACATAAAAAAATCTTCACAAATGGACTGATAAGCAGCATCATGATAAATGGAGAAAAGATTGCAATTGTCAAGGATTTCATTTTACTTGGATCCACAATCAAAGCCCATGGAACCAGCAGTCAAGAAATCAGATGATGTATTGCACTGGGCAAATCTGCTGCAAAAGACCTCTTTGAAGTGTTTAGGAGAAAAGATGTCACTTTGAAGATTAAGGTGCGCTTAACATAATGGCTAAAGCACCTGACTGCTAACCAGAAGGCTGGCAGTTCAAACCCACCAGCCACTCCTCGGAAGTAAGGTTGGGCAATCCTACTTCCGTAGTGATACTGCCTCGGAAACCCAAGGAGGGGTCGCTATGAGTCGGGGCCAACTCGATGGCACATAACAACAACAACAAACCCAAGCCATGGTATTTTTCAATAGTGTAATAAGCTTGTAAGAGCTGGAAAGTGAATAAGGAAGATTGCAGAAGAATGAATGCCTTTGAATTATGGTGTTGGTGAAGAATATTGAATCTACTGTGGACTGCTAGAAGAATCGCATTTGCCTTGGAGGAGTACAATTGGAATGCTTCTTAGAAATGAGAATGGCCAGGCTTCATCTCTCACTCTTTGGTGATGTTGTCAGAAGGGCCCAGTCCCTGAAGAAGGGTATGATGCTAGGTAAAGTGGAAGCTCCGTGAAAAAGGGGAAGGCCCTCAATCACATGGATTGACACCGTGGCTGCGATTCTGAGCTTAGGCATGGCAATGATTGTGAGGACTGCACTGGACCAGGCAGTGTTTTGTTCTGTTGTACATAGGGGCACTATGAGTTAGAACCAACTTGCCGGCACCTAACAACAACAACAACAGCCTTTACAGAAGGAGATTGCCACATCTTTTTTCCCATGGAGCCCCTGGTGGGTTCAAACCACCACCCTTTCCGTTAGCAGCTGAGTGCTTAACCACTGTGCCACCAGTGTGTCTTTGGCATCCAGGAGGCCAAAAATTGAAAGGAAGAGATAAACCCAAAGACTGACTGGCTACATCCTACCCCTCTTCCCGACATACATATTCAGCTCACCTGAGTTAGCCAAAGGGATCTTTGTGCAAAAGAGTGTGTATTACGTACACAAATGTTCATAGTAGCACTATTTATGGGCCATTTAGCATAGCTTCATTTATAGTTGTTAACAAGTAGAAACAACACAAATGCCCATCAACTGATGAATGGGTTAACATAATGTGGTCTATCCATAACCCATTGCCATTGAGTCGATTCTGACTCATAATGACTCTATAGGGCAGCGTAGAACTGCCCCAGTGTTTCCAAGACTGTAATCTTTATGGAAGCAGACTGCCACATGTTTGTCCTGCAAAGCGGCCAGGGTGTTTGAACTGCCAAACTTTTGGTTAGCAACTAAGCACTTAACCACTTGTGCCACCAGGGCTCTGTCCATACAATGGAATATTATTAAGCAATAAACAGAGCTTCAGTACTGATACATGCTACAACATGGATGAACCTTGAAAACATGCTAGTGAGAGAAGCTAGTCACAAATATCAACATATTGTATGATTCCATTTCTGTGAAATGTCCAGAAGAGACAAATCCAGAAAGCTTTTTTTTCCCCCAAATGTATGTTGTTGTTGTTGTTGTTGTTATGTGCCGTCGAGTCGGCCCCGACTCATAGCGACCCCTCCTTGGGTTTCCGAGGCAGTATCACTACGGAAGTAGGATTGCCCAACCTTCCTTCCGAGGAGTGGCTGGTGGGTTTGAACCGCCAGCCTTCTGGTTAGCAGTCAAGTGCTTTAGCCACTATGCTACCCCAAATGTATATCCGATGCTAAATCTGTAGTTGGATTCTTCTAAGACGGTTGAGCAGGCAACTAAGTTTTCAGGCTGTGAGGAATTGGTTATTTATTTTTCTTCGCTCTTTTTTTTTTTTTTTTTCATTGCATATTGACATTACCAAGTACAGTGGTCTCCAGTCTAACAAGTCTGATTCAAAATACCATTTGCCAAGTAGCTAGTACAACCGTGGGTTTCCTGTCTGTCCCACTAGACTCCCCAGCCTCATCAGTGATCTGGGCAGGAAGATCTCTCGACTTATCTCTTAAGAGGAGCTCTGGTGGCCTAGTGCCTAATTAGACTGCTAACCAGAAGGCTGGCGGTTCAAACCCACCAGCCACTCCTTGGGAGGAAGGTTGGGCAATCTACTTCCCTAGTGATACCGCCTTGGAAACCCAAGGAGGGGTCGCCATGAGTCAGCTCTGACTCAATAGGAGTGTTTGTCTCTTAGACTGGGAAGTCCATGAGGGCCCCAAACCAGTTCAAACCAGTTGCCATGGAATCAGTGGCAACTCATGGGGAGCCCATGTGTCACAGTAGAACCGGGCAGAGATGGCGATGGCTGAAGTAGATCACCACCAGGCCTTTCTACCAGGCCCCTGAGAGAGCACTAGAACCTGTAACTGGTCCCAAGGATTTATTTCTGCCTAGTGGAACCTCTCAGATCCAGGGGCCATGAGCTGCTTTTATTAGGCTCTCAGCATATTAAAAAATTTACTGGATTAGAGCAGAAATTTAGTTCCCAGTTCTGGCAGTGTGGCCCAATGATAGGACTCAAGAACTGAAATCTATAAGATGAGCGTGCCTTCCTTACATCCTGCCTGAAACGCTCTACAAGTGCACCTGTATGTAACCTAATTTGAAGACACAGTACTTGTGTTAAAAATCTAAATTTGAAGCTCAGACCCAAAGTGCTTCCTTACTCCAATCCCCATCGGCCTGAGAGAGACAGACAGACACACACACAGACACGCGCGCGCGCTTTGAAGAACGAATGAAATAACACGCCCCATTTAGCATAGACTTAATAATGCACAGAGTACTTTGGAAACTGCAAACTGCAGGACGTGCGGAAAGGTTTATGGCCGTGCGTCTGAGGCCGCGTCACGGCTTAAGATTTCGAGAAGCCCCCTTTTGCCCTTGGCTAGTCTGCACTAGTATGGAACTGAGAGGCTGCTTTGCACGTGGCCCCTCCACGCGTCCGCAGCGCGCGCCCCGGGGCCCCGAGGAAATGCGCCCGGCCTCCACGCCGGAACTGACGTCACGCTACGGCCTAGCAACCGTTGCCAAGGAGTTCGTGTCTAGCTACCTAATAGAACCCGGTCCCTCTTGCGGGGGGGAAAAGTGGTTTCTTGAGGAGAATCTGAGGTAACCTCGCCTACCCGCAGGCGGAAACTCCCTGAACCCCGAAATAGGAAAGAATTCCCCACCTCTTCCCCTTCCCGATGCAGCGCTTTGCAGATGGAGGGGCCGCGGCAGTTAAGCCCCTCAAATCAAAGGGTCGGGCTCCTGCTGGGCCTTTCTGGAGCCCAGGCAGCTACGCAGCAGGAGGCGTCATCAGCGAGCCCAGAGCAGCCCCCGGGAGGTGCCTAGGCCTTAGTGTGGGTCCCCTGCCCTTTCCTGAGCCCCCAGGAGGTGGGGACACTATTTCTGGTCCACCGCTCGGGCCAGCCAGGGACCAGGGCGTCGTCCTTTCTGTGCCGAGTTGTGCCAGATAGACGCACGGCCTGGTTTGAATTCTCCCCTCACCCCCTCGGGTTCTTACGTGAGTAAGTGCTTGTGAATTAGTGTGGCGACTTTCCCCTGGAAGAGGGAGACTAATTGCTTTTGCTAATTTTAGAGCGCAGAGCCCACTGGGTGTGGACAAACCTGCCTGTTGGGTACCGCTTTCTACTTGGCGTGTGACTGACCATCTGAAAGCCCTTGGGCACCCAGGAGGGAAAACCAAGCTAGTTTCGCTTCCCCTCCTGGTATTGTTTTCCTGTTTTTTTCCAGGTTTCTTGTTTGTTTGTTGCTTTAAGGGGGAAAAAAAATATTTCTACTGAGTTAATTTAGAAATCATGTTAAATGAGAGATATATGCGCGTGAAAGTTATGCCATAAAGTTTTTACTTAAAATACTTTGAACAGTGAAAAACTTGCATCTTAAATGTGGATTTTTTTTGCTTTTCACTTATGTAAAGGCTTTCCTTTTATAGCGTGAAGGAAATCTCAACTTTATAAACCACACTCGTT